GCGGGTGACCGGCAGCGCCGGAGCGGCGAGGGAGGGGCCGTTACAACTGAATTCCGCATCATTTAAACAGGAAAAGAAAAAAACAACCCTTTAAAAGTCTCAGCTGTGATACAAATTATTTATAGTACAAAATCAAGTTGCCAGTGTATGTATCGGTACCACGCTCCAGAGTCTTGGGCTCCCCCCAGCCCACCCGGGGGGTCGGGACCCCCGGTGAGATCCACCCGCCGCTCAGGGGCAGCCCAAGTAGCACCGAGGTTCCCACAGAGCCAGGGGACAGAGCACGGGAGGCTCCTCTAGTCCCCATGTCATAGGAATAGCTACAGCTGTGAACTGCAGAAAGCACTCAAAACATCTAAGCGTGCCTCATAACCTCCTCTGGACACAGAATTCCCGGCCTGCTCGGCTCCCCGGGGACGCCTTCAGCTGTATTGAAAAAACTCACTTATTTCAAAAAAAATCATCACAAAACTGAGAAATCACAATTGGGCTCTTCATAAAGAGTCTCTCTGTGAATCAAGCCGTACACACCATGGTTCTATTCAGTAACAAGCCAAGGAATCTCGCACAGTTTTGGAAACCACACAGCTTAACCCAGGTTCTGATCTCCTGTACACAGGCAAAATCCAGCCCTGGGACTGTGGGAAGGAGTCTGGATTTGTTACCTGCCCACAGGGGAAAACAACCAACGTGTGGGAGGAGGGGAATGGATTGTAGACTGAAGCACCGGGCTGCTTACAATAAAATGCACCAAGAACTGAGAGTTGGGGGCGAGGGAGGAGGGAAGATCACAAACTGAGAATGCCCACTGAATGGGAAAGCTCCCTGGATTCCTGCGCTCCTGAAGCTCATTCCCATGAGAAGCAGAGGCTGGAGGAAACCAGCTGGCAGCCAGGAGGACCTTTGCTCCTGGCAGAAAGCGACAGAAATACAAGGCATCTAAATGACTATTAATGAGGTACTCCAAAGTCAGTAAGAAGTTTTTGACGGTGTCCAAAGTTCACTTTCTGCTGATTTTCATCCCTGTCGTGTTATTCTGCTCGGTACTGCTGTGCAATCCATTTATTAAGTCATCTAGATGGGGATAAAGTGTTCTAACAATGTAATCAATAACATAATCAATTCAAATAAATTGATTTAAGTAGTTGGATTTTATCTCACCACACTCTCTTCCAGTTAACACCAGGATGGCTGCTCTGTGAGCCTACAGAAACTGGGGAGGAGGGGGGTGTACAATAACACTTGCTCACAGGATTTCTTCCCCACAAAATTATTATAATCCAGTTAGGAATAACCACAAAAGATGCAGAACTAAAAGATTTCAGTATGTAAAAAAAGTAAAAACTTTTTAAAACAGTAGTAGCTTCAGTACAAAATTGCAAATATATGTAGCAAAAAAAAAAAAAAAAAAAAAAAAGAGGTGCCTGTTGTTGAAAGAAGAGTCTATTTAAGAGCAGTTCAAACATATCACAAACATTTTAAAGTACATCTCTGAATGAAGCAAAGGTTATGGGCTTGCACCAGGGTAACTAGGCAGTTAATTTAGGCCTGACCAGCATTAAAAAAATGTGCACTGGCTTAAATAAATACATTTTAAACATTATAAACTCTATTTACTCGGTTACTGAAATTTACCTACAGAAAATAATCTTGAATTACAAGGCACAGAGTTAATTGCTGCCTGCGAGTCAAGCCCACACTAAAGGCCTACTACTAAAGTAAAGGTAGAACGTGGTGAGTAGAGGTTACCTCACTGAAATACTCCTACGCCCCCACAGCCCGCAAGGCTGCAGCAGGAGCCACGTCTGGATCAGCACTTCCACGAGTGCAAAAGATGCAAAGACACTTCAGGCAACAGCACTTGGTGAAAATAAACGTATGCAGAGTCTTTAGGCTTCTGCAGACATCATGCATATCGGGTGTTTTGGCGTTTCCTAGGATCAGGCAGTGTTTGGAACTCGGTGTTGCTTCACTAGCCACACATGCCAGTATTTGGGTTACCTGCAGTTTCTAATCTACGGGCTGCAGTTTGCTAAAGCGGCACCAGTACGAGCAAATCTCAGACGTACAAAAATTGCAGTTAGTGTCAGCATGTTACACCGGCTGAAGAAAGGCACATCCTCTTCAAAGAGGGGAATTAGGGCACAGATACAAATGTTTCTATCCACTTGGGTGTTTTTGTCCATATCAGATAAAGCAAAGTCAAATTAACACAAGATCCCTAATAACCCTGTTGATGTATTTTCTGTTATCTTGCTAAAATGATATTTTTTTCCTGTCCAGGGTAGACACCAGTGCAGTTTTGCATGTGTGGGAATCACAAGAAAGCAAGTTCTGAATTACCAGTTGAGGCTGCATCCGGACAAAGACAGCACTGTCAACTTCAGACAACAAAGCCCAGTCCAGCACCATTGGTTTCACACAAAGTATCTTTGAAGCATGCTGCTTTCACACCACCAAGCTGTAAGGTTAAGTCTAAGGAAGGTTTCATGCGCTCACTCCTCAGCTGGTCCCGGAATCACACATAAAGAACAGTGCACATCCTGAAAATAAAAGCCAGCTGCCACTCACTAGAGCTGCTAAAGAAAGTTAAAAAGTACATAAATAGAATTTCAGTTAAAAGTTTATAGTAACTGATAACCTAGTAGAGAGGAGAAAACTACCCAGGTAAACCTACCCAGTGACTGGCTAACCATTACAAATTTAACTGAAATCAGCAATCAGTTGCTAGGAAGAAAACGAGGGTTCCCGTAAAGAGAACCTGCAAATTTTCTGTCAGTGTTCTCCCAGAAAAGCAACAAAGGAATTTGCTGTAAAAATCTCAGGTGGTGGCCGGAAGAACATTAAGAAGTAAGGCAATTAACTCCTCAAGAGCAAACAGGCTGCTATCAAGTCTCTGGGATTCATCAAAGGGATCACACTGAAAAATCTCGTTTTGAGAAGTGTCATCCCAACCACATCAGTCAGTCTGAGAAGGCAAGCTAACTTTATTCTTAGGGTGCACAGTCTCTTTGGAGAGTGAAATAAAAACTCAGTTTAGAAGACTATGGAAGACTTGCATCTAAACTACTCTTCCACCTCTCCAGTTCAACAGTACGAAAACACTCATTTGAGTGATTCATCATTATTCTAAGTCCCTTACATTAGGAGAAATCAGCTCCTGCTGATTTAATAAAATCATTGCAGGTGTTCCCTGGGTCTTGCTCATTGCATTAAACACACCTTATGCTAACTCTTCATATAAATAAGGTGAATCTCAGTAATATTTCAGGCATTTTTGCATGTAAACACATTGTTTTCAAGCTTCAAATTGACAAATTAAAACAACTGGACAGCCAGACTTCTGTATGTAAAACAAATTCAGTAAATCAGTAAATAAGGGATGGAAAAAGCAGCAGCTACGCTTAAAGCAAAGTTATCAGGGTTTGTGCTTTTCAGCAAAGCTAGTAACTGATGGCTACCTAGTAAAGAAGTCTGGCTTCAAAGAAGTCCCTTCTTTTATTTTCCTCCATTAAATAAGGATAGAAGCTGAGTGATCCCTGGAGAAGCTGGAGATTGGAAATTTAGAAATAAAGTGGGTATTTGACCTCTAGTTGGGAAAAAAAAAAATAACCCACAACCCTGTTCTGTTTCAGTTTCCCTGAAGCAATAAGACTGCGAGATTATTTGTGGCATAAACCATTTCTGCTTAGAGCTGTTAGTGCAAGATGCAAATCTTCAATTTAACTCATTAAAAAGCCCTCCAAGATTCTAGTCAATATTCCACGTCGAACACCCATCACCCGAGGTAACTATAATAAGAGACATTTCCTTGTGTTCTTCTTTGTCACAGGATACAGAACTGCACGCACAGCTTCAGCAAACACCTCCCGAACACCCTCCTGATTCAACGCTGAGCACTCCAAATATTTGACTGCTCCGATTTGTTTAGCCAGCGAAGTCCCCTGCTGCGGGGTGGTGGGAGCCAAGCTTTGCTCTTTCAACTTTTTAACTGTTTCCAGGTCATTTCTCAAGTCTCTCTTCGTGCCCACTAAAAGAATGGGAACGTTTGGACAGTGGTGAGAAACTTCAGGATGCCATTTGTGCCTCACGTTTGCGTAGGAAGAGGGGCTGCCAATGGAGAAACAGATGACAAATACATTGGTTTGAGGGTAGGAGAGCGTGCGCAGGCGGTCATATTCCTCCTGGCCTGCAGTGTCCCAGAGATTCAGGCTGACAATCCGGCCATCAACAGTCATTTGGGCACTGTAGTTGTCAAACACAGTAGGGATGTACTCTTCTGGGAAGGCATTGGTGGTATAGCTGATGAGAAGACAAGTTTTTCCCACAGCGCCATCTCCAACAACTACACACTTTATAGTCTGCATTCTTTACCCAGAAACAAAGTCCTGCACAAAGCAAGGAAAAAAGTTAGGAAAAGTAAACTCAATGATAGGAATTTTAAATTTAAACTTTAGCAAGTGTTTTTAATATTGCTACGATTTCTTATCACAGCTAGACACACTCAGAGTCTCAGAAGCCATTATGAAGAGCTCACAGGCTCACAGACAATAGTGAAATGGAGATGCAATGAGTTGAGAGCTCAGTGACAACTGGCTGCATTCCAGCCATTTCAGTACAAATTAGCCAAATTCCCACAGTCTTGCCTTACTGCCAGTTTCCCACAGGCAAAAGGACAAGTCCTTAAAGGTGGAAAGTGATGATGACCTCAGAACTAGTAACGAGATAGTCTGTCATTGTAGGTTCACACACACCTACCCTCCAAGATTCACACTGTCTGCATAGTCTACTGCCTAAAGTTTACTGCAAAGAAAGGTCCAAAAATTATATAATAAATGAAGATACTCATTGCCAGGCTGCACGGCTACTGTTCACTGTAACAATTCACTCAACTCAGGATCAATCAGACCTCAAGAAGCTGCGTTAGAGGACACCAGAGAAAAGGTTCAGAAAGTAGCACATACAAGAAATATTATTGAAAATATTGAAATATTACTGGTTATTTGAAATACAACTAGCCATGGTACCCAGATTAGAATACATAAATAATTTTTCTAAAGAAGCCAAGAACAGATTATTCCCACTAATCAGTGACAGAACAAGCAGAACTTAGTAAGCTTCAGCTGCAATAAAGAAAGCTTATACCAAGAATTAGAAAAATACATGCTGTAAAAGATCAACAATCAAACAGCCTTCCCAGGCAGACTGGGGAGTTGTTACAGGAGATATGTGACACTTAAAGGCTTCCCTGTCCCTTTCCTGGTATGTGAAGAGCAGGTTTGACAATCAAATAGATATAGCCTAAAACTCAAGTTAATTCTAAACCTTCATCACATGAACAGCAGGAACTTTGAAAACAGCATGGAACAACTACGAGCAGTCATTTGCTGAGCATTTGTTGTAGGCTGGAGCTTCCACTGCTGGCCTGAACAAGAAGGAACTTGCATCTGCCTTCTCACCCAAATGCCTTTGAGGTACTATCAGTAATCCTCAACTTGCAACCAGCAGCAAATATGCCGCTTCAAACAGAAGAAACAAATAGTGGGAGGAACTATACTGCATATTCCAGAAAGATCACAGCTCCAGCACCATCAAAACAGCAACGGGAAAATATGAAAGTGAGTGATAGTGCAGTGCTTCACTTTATAAAAGTCATGAAACCCCCTCCCTCCAACTTCCTCTTCAAGATCATAGAGACACATCAACAAACTCATGACCATTTATGTCTCCGCTTTCTCCTTTTTGACAATGTTTTTATCTGTATCCACATACTGCTGCCTTTCCACTGGGCACATGATTCTTCTGTACTAAGTGAAAACAGACTAGCCGAAGCTTTGTCACAAAGCTCGAGTGACACTGACTGCGGTCGCTACAACATACAGTGCTTAAGGAAATGTTCAATGTACACAGGCACTGCTGAAAACCAATCAGTGGTGTGAAGCAGCACAGAAACTTTGCTTCAGAAAGACCCAGCAGGACATTGGAGGGGAAGAATTCGGAGGAAAAGAAGCAGGAGGAAGATGCAGAAGCAGTTTATCCTTTTGGAAAAAGGCAGAAATTACATTTCTAAAACAACATGAATCACCTGAAATTAAATCTGGCAAGTACATGTGAGCTTTGGCAGAAAAGCATACATGTGAGATTCATCATACATACATTAAAAAAAAAAATCAGTCATGCTGTTTCAAGGCTCCAGTCAAATGTAAAGAGAGATGTGTAAGCAACTGCATATTGTAAAGGTAACCAGGAAAATGAACAGTACTGACCAGCAAAAGCTGCATATATTATTCCAGAACAGTTGTGCCAAGATTTTCATATAACAGGTCTGGGAGAGGGGGGGAAGGTAAATTCTGTCAAATTAGAGGCTTAGAAACATTTCTTATGTTTTGCAAACCTCAAAGTTGAAACCCCTTTAAAGTTACTTAAAACATTACAAATTACACATTTTTAGCATTTTATTATTGACAGAGGTTGAACACTTCCTGGTAGCACAGAATACAACCAGTTACCCAGAGAGGTGGTAGAAGCCCCATCCCTGGAAACATTCAAGGTCAGGTTGGATGGGGCTCTGAGCAACCTGATCTGGTTGAAGATGTCCCTGCTCACTGCAGGGGGGTTGGAACGGGATGACCTTTAACAGCCCCTTTCAACCCAAACCATTCTATGATTCTGTAATATTTCTGAACACAAAGGGTCTAAGTGCTACAAGCAAACGGTGACAGAAGAGTAGATGTATTTTAACACCATAACACTGTTCTACCTGAAGATGCAACCATAACTCACCATCCCAGTCTCTACTGCTGCTCTCCCCGTAGGGCAGATCATTACCTGCAGCAGCAAGGCAGCCTTCAGAAATTTCCAAACCCCATTTCACCTTCCCACCCAGGTAGCACACCACCTCCTCAGCTGTGGCCACACACTAAAACAGGGTGAGGAGTTGTTCCATCCAGTTTACCAAGTAATACCACAACCAACTGTGCTGGTAGAACCAAGGCAGTGGTAGTATATGGTGGGAATGAATCACAGGGAGGAACACCAGACGCTGCTACTGCTGCCAAAGCATCACTGTCCGGCAGCACAGACAGCAGGTTTCAAAGCTTATTCCTGCATTCACCTCAAACCACTGAAGTACTAGAAGATCCTGTGCCACCTTAGTGGTGACCAGCAATTCCAGAGCAAAAGTTTTTCTCCAAATGAACTACCTACGCAGCAGACTGCTACTTTGATCAGTCAATAACAGGTGACATTATAGAGACGGCAGAATTAAGTCAGTTGGATACATGCAATAAAAACTCAACTATAGCAACAGAAGTCTCATGGAGAATGAGATACACAAATCCTTTTATATGTCCAGTTTCTAAAATAAACAAATCACAAAGACTTGGAAACTGATCTCTCTTTAAAACACAAACCACGAGCTCCCCCAAGAGCTTACACCTCTGCACATTTCTGTCCAGAGCTTTTCACAGAAAGACAGGGTATCCCAAAATTGCACCCAGGCACTGATACCCGGAGGCTCAGCACACCAGTACTGTAAGACAACACAGGCAGTTTCATATATTGGTACACTACAAAGCCACATGTATCCTGTACTATCGACAGCCAAAATACCTGATTCAACCTGATTTTAAAAATTTAATGGAAGTGTATTACCCAAAGATTATTTTATTGGGGTTTTATTTAAGAGGTTATTAGAGCTTTCAATGTGGAGAACAATAGTAAGGTAACAAAAAAGCCTGTAACACAAATGCTCTTTCACAGCATTATAATCTTGAATTACCTGATTAAGGCTTGAATTTTAGAAGAGCAGCATTTGCAATGGGAAATAAGTCCACACAAACATCCCAAAGCATCAGGCTAAGTATGAACTAAAATACAATTTTATGTATGCTTCTCTGCAGGGTTTCTTTAAAGTAGGCTCTGAGCTGAGAGGAATCATGTGTGGCACATGCAATACAGAAAAACAAACACACACCAGGATATACATTATTTAGTACTGGAACACAAAATCTAGATAAATTAATTAAAAAAAAAAAAAAAAAAAAAAAGGAGTAGAAAGAAGCTCCTACACTCCAGAAACCAGTATGTTGTGAGCAGGTGTAGTTTGGTTTAAGATTTACATATGGAAGACAAGGGGTTTTTTTTATTTAAGCCACAACCAAGCAAACAATATTACCTCCATCAGACCTTTTCTATTAAATCCACATATTATTTTGTTCAAAATGTATGAAGTCTTATTTTTTCTTGTAAACAATTTGCCTAGCAATAAAACTCTCATAAGATAGCAAGAAGCTGGGGTTCAAATTTGCATGGAAAATTCTTTTTATTTCTTACACACCCTCGAACTTGGCACTGCATGCTATCTGAATATAAATACACGCTCAAAAAAACCCTCACACTCCAAAAACAAAATTACCAACAAATGTTACCAAGAGCAGGAAAATTGGTTTAGGGTTTGTTTGGGGGTTTTTTTGGTGAGCTTCAAAAGAATTTTGGGGGAAAACTTTAGAGAGAAAAAGTCCACGTACAACAGGTAACAAGAACTGAAAAAGAGAAAAATACAGATTAACACGTCAACACATCAAAACCAAGACTTAGAATTTAGAAACAGAAAGCTGGGCACAAGCTTCAAAGACAAGTTTAAAGGTTACTCAGCAAGAGGAAAGAAAAAAAACAAGAAGTCCAAAGTAGCGAGAGGTACTTCAGGTTGCTTAGTCCTGCCAGAAAAAGGACTTTCATTACAGTTAAGGTGGAAGATCATCAGAACATGAAGGGTTCTAGCAGTGACAGTAAAATGGCAACAGTCTTCAAAAAATTAAAAAAAACCAAAAAACACCATGAAAAATAACACCTCACAAAGAAGTGTTGTGCAAAAATACATAGGTGGGAGTTATTTCTGTCT